ATTTCACAAGTACCCTAATTCCCGGTAGATAAGCCCGCGCCGATATCACGTAAAAACACCTTCGCTGGTGCAAAGCACTTGCGTACTTCTAAAGACAACCGTAACTTGCCCATAGAAGTAATTCGATATGCTGATTACGAAAACGACATTTTTAGCGGTGGCGCCAGTTGGCGCCACCTTGTCACGACCCTTGTTTTCACCAAAATCGGTGTAAACTTCTGTATAGGGGTTATTTGGTGTCCTGATTACGAATATGACATTCGTTTTTGGCGCTGGCGTTGTTTGGCGCCTATTTTCTGCTGACGAATGACGAGCAGAAATAGGCGCCAAACAGCGCCTATAATGAATGTCATATTCGTAATCAGGACACCAAATAACCCCTATACGGAAGTTTACACCGAATTTGGTGAAAACAGGTGTCGTGACAAGGTGACGCCAACTGGCGCCAGATGGCGCCAGCGCAAAATGAAAGTCATTTTCGTGATCAGGGCATCGAGTTACCTCTACCGGCAAATCTACGGTGGTTTCTAAAAAGGCAAGGCCCTCAGATGGTCGTGGCCATTCAAGAAGAGATGTATACCCCTAGATGTGCCTTTGAACGCTGATCTCAAATCTACCTTCCAAATCTGCTAAACGATTCTCTGAATGGAGTTATGAAGCAAAACAGCGCAACGGTAGTGGTCGGGACTCACAGTCAAAACGTCGTAGGATCGGTCCCTTATCGTGTTTACTGTTTTCCATTCTTCAGGAATACAGCTAACGGCTTTAATAGCCTATTTAGCTGAATTCCTGAAGAATGCAAACAGTAACACGATAAGGGACCGATCCTACGACGTTTTGACTGTGATCCCGACCACTACCGTTGCGCTGTTTTGCTTCATAACTCCGTTCAGAGAATCGTTTAGCAGATTTGGAAGGTAGATTTGAGATCAGCGTTCGAAGGCACATCTAGGCGTATACATCTCTTCTTGAATGGCCATGGCGACCTGGGAGCCTTTCCTTGTAAGGTGTACAAAATCAAACTGCACGAGCGAAGGTGTTTTTACGTGATACTGGCGCGGCCTTATCTACCGGAAATTAGGGTATTCGTTTTAGGACCGCTGCACAATGACTGGACATATATTTTGAGTTTGAGAGACGACTGAAATCGAACTTCTGAACGGATTATCGTAAATGCACGATGTATCTTAGCTCCACTGATGCATCAAAACTTTGCTAAACTGCCAGCGGTGAACGAAGAGTTGCTTAGAACTTTTGAACTACGAAATTGTTCGTTTTTTTCTATGTTAGAAAACTTACATTAGCAGTGGCCGACGGTTGAAGAGGGAGTGTTGGCATCAGGAACGACAAAGCGTAGTCTAGCTGGAACTGTTACACGTTTATTTTCGAGAGAACACTCCGTAATGCCATATGAACATATATGGAACAGACTTTCGACTATTTTATATGGTGTCGTCGTTGCTGCAGAAGAATGGAGGGAGGGGCGTGGTGGGCGCAGAGAGAGAAAGAGGAAGTAGAAAGACAGTGAGAAGGAGTATCCGCCAACAATCAATTCAGATAAAGGCCGCGGAACGACTGTTACCGTAACCGCCAGGGCGCATACCTTTCAAAAGAATCAGTAACGCTCACATCCACGACTGCCGATTACCGTCTTGTCACCAAAGCCACCCTTACCGCGGGTAGCTCGTGGCATCGATTTGGATTGCGACCGCGGATTACGGTAACAGTCATTCCGCGGCCTCTGTTATCCGTCTAATCCGCCAACAAACCCATTTTGCATACAAACCTCATTCAAGGGGTAAGGACCTTACATGATGGTGGATGTGAGGTTAGCGTAAGGCGTGAAGTATACGCAGGGAAAGGAAGGTGTCCGCAAATGTTGAGTAATGAGCGTAAAGCAATAACCAAACAGCTCATGTAAAAACAGGAGGCAGCTCCTCCCTCCACAATCATATCAAGCTATGAACCCTAACCATAAGATTCACTTCGTACCTGAGAAGCTTCGCAGGCGAATCCATTCGGTTTGAACTCTGGCGAGTGCAACAGGAACCCGTTCATTTTGAGGAACTTACTTCGGAAGATGTTACGGAAACGTGTCAGATCGCGCGCACTTCTGTCGTCTGGCGAGGTCTACAAGCATTTGGGCAATTTTATCATAATGTCGAAAGTGTACGGCTTTGCAAGAACCTCGGCATGATATATTGATGGCTGATATCTTCTGTAAGCTCTCCACGAGGTTGTTAAGCAGACTTTATTGGCTTACGTTTCGGCGGGGTCGCCTTCTTCAGAGCCTGAAAGGATCGAAGCAATTTATGACTACCCGACCAAACGCCTCCGGCCTTCCACCAGTAACTCTAGATCAAGTTTAGTCCGGATTGCTGTGTGTCCCACTACTGGTTCCGGGTGGTCTCGAGTACCGGACTAAGTTACGGTAAGTGGCCCACCTTGGTATTGCGTGATGACCTGTTTTGTTCTCGAATTTCAGTAGGATAGCGGAGGCGTTTGGTCGGGTAGTCATAAATTGCTTCGATCCTTTCAGGCTCTGAAGAAGGCGACCCCGCCGAAACGTAAGCCAATAAAGTCTGCTTAACAACCTCGTGGAGAGCTTACAGAAGATAGAAGCCGTCAAAGTTTTCATAATAATCTAATAGAGTGATATCTCTGAAGCTTTATAATCCGGTTTCACATTGGCCTGATTTCGCTTGAACAGAAGGAAAAACAAGGAATCCGATTTGTAATCTCGGAACCAGAATCTTTAATTGCAGCAGTTCTCTGCTTACTTGACTTCTCTATTCTAAGCAGTATTTATAACATTATACTACCAATTTTCCCCAAGACCACTTGTCACACGCTTGTTCTTGTTTTGCAAGACAACGCCGAATAGTCTGATTGTGAGCGATTACATCACACGCGTGGTGTACCGTGTGCATCACATGGGGCGGTATTCAATCCTTCCCCCAGGGGTTGGGGACGGAAATCCCTTTAAATTTATTTGTTTTTAACGATGTAGTTTCTTCATTTTCAATGCATGCTTACTTTGACTACATACATACATTAAATGTAGGCCCTTTATCAGGACAATCCCAGTTGGGAAGACAGGGAAAATTTAAAGGGATTGAGCGGTCAGCAATAGGATGAGCGGCGACCCTGCGGAGAACATTCTCTTCCGATCTTCGTCATTTTACGAGACCCAAATCGCAAGTATATTTTTCAGACATAGAAAATATAAGAATGTTAATAATGATTAGCTTATTGATAAGTTATCGCATGAGGTTCGAAGATGCACGTATAATTACAGTATGTATTGTGTAAGCAGCTTGCTCGGGTGGACAGTCCCACAAAATTCAGAGCAGAAACTTAATTGATAAAATGCCTTTCACCTGGAAGACTTCCACGAAGGATCCAGCTGTTATCTTCCATCGAATCAGTTGCTCGAATCCTTGCCATAACTGAATAGTCATTGTCAGAGTTAAAGGAAAGCTTCGTCGCACGTTTGGTGCTTTCATGCTTTTAACATCACAGAAACCCCCATTAATAAATACTGAAAAAGAAAACCCGGAAAAGGAAAAGAAAGCACAAGAGATTCCCGATTACGCCACGAACAAGGTTCCTTCGCCTTTTGGAAAGGAGAATGATCGTATTTGGATGTGTTTCACAAATGGCTAGTTTCGGTTGTCCTAATGGTAGCGACACTGTGCCGAAGTGCTAACATTGGCGCGGCTGTGGCCGCACTTTTCTCGCAGCAACGACGTGGCTACCAACAGCAGAAGCCGAGGCTTGCTATAGAAGGTGTGGATTGCGGATAAAGCAAACTTGTAGCGCTTCTGTTGCGCAGCCAAAGCGGCACCATGTCAACGCTTGTCCTCCCGCCTACCACGATCGAGGACGGAACAGCTGAGTGTGACAAATCCCGGATCGTGCCTTTAACGATGGCTGCATTATGACGATTTAGTCGTAAATGTGCGCAGCAGCCAAAAAGGTGAATTTCAATAACACATCCTTTCAATACTTGAGCTAATGGATTTTGGTATCTCCCTGAACTATTGTACCACTTGCAACATAAGCAAACGAACTATAATAGTGGGGCATTTTATCAGCGGAAACCAATCAGATTACGAGGCGGCGTCTTACGATAGATTGCGGATACCAAACTCTACGATCCTGACAGTTCGGATGGTCCGGAAGATCTCAGGAGACTCCTGAGATGACATGGGTTTCTAGGAAGTAGAAAACGACGGAAATTTCGTAGAGCAGAAGGGCTGGTGGAATCCAAAGCGTTCTTACAGAGCGCGGCTCGCAATTCCTTCCGAGTGTGCCCCTACCTGGACGTCGGCTTTGTTCCCGAATGACATTTGGAAAATTTCTATTTGCGAGTGGTAACAAAATACGAACCTATATTTCAACAATTCTCATTCCGGGGAGATAGTGTGGTGACAAGAGGGGCCACTTAAGATCACTGGATCAAATCCCAGGCCAAGACAAGTGTGCGTCCGCCAAATTCCTACAGATGATCAGATGTCGCCAGGAGCGATAGCTGCTTTCAAAAGTTGTAGTCTAAAGGTTGAAGGAACGCCCTCAGTTGTGCGGAACTGACTGAGAAGACTTAGATACACAGTGTTTGGGTTCAATAAGAAACTAGAATAGGGCCAAATGCGTGGCTCATTCAAAAAAGGAATTTTACAACGAGTATTTCGTAATATTTTCATCTGCATTTACCTGCACGCGACATCCGCTATCCGCAGGAGCCACTTTGGCTAGTCTGTTCAGTTCGCTGATGATTTCATGAGGATCACGACCAGGCGACACAGTTATCACATCAGCCCCTTAATAAATGAGACTTTCCCTTTGTAAAGGATTGGGAAGCGTTTCAGAACGTCTCATTGAAATATCAAAGCATGCTTCACAAATTCTGATAAATCCCACAATCTTTGATAAAGTCTGAAGTTTCACTACCCATACAAAAATTCAGGAAATGCTTGCGATATGGGCTTAATATTTGTCATCATTTCATATAATAAAGGAGAACCAAAAAGCCATTCATTCAGATTTGACCTCCTACTGTAGCGAGCAGCTTCAACAGACCGCAGTGAACTTGCGAAACTCACATGTAGAGTTGAAACCAATCAAATAGAAGCGATTGATCCAATTGAGGCTTTGCGCTTGCACGTCACGAATCATCTCGGCAAAATGCTCACTCAGTGCGACAATCTGAAGCAGAACAGAGCAAAATTATAAAATGCTGCCAGTGACTGCAAAAACTGAGCTCTAACCTGAGCATGTGCTTGTGCTGTTAGCTCCACCATGAACACCATGTCAACCTTATTCAACATGGAAACGGGAGACTCTCCTTTTTCTTCACACATTGCTATAAAGGTAACAATTGGGATACCACTCACATGAACGTTCTTGGCTGAAATTTCACGGTGAATTCGGAGAACCTTCCTAATACCCACAGTCCTTATCCCGCGCCGGATTTCCGCGCTCCCAGACTTTTGAGAAGCAGACACAGAACAGTCATTATAAGACTGCTTCCCAGCTTTTTTTGCTGCTTTGACTACCATTTCATCATAGTGGGCTTCTTTGTGGATATACCAGACTGACGGCTAGTTATGCATTATGCATGGTTTCTCGTTTTGCCTGTTTTTGCGGATAATCTCTGACAAGTCTACGAGCACGTCGTCTCAAGCAAGGGATATGAACTACTCCCTGCGAGAATGAATTCCGTCCAGTAATCCCTCACGTGAATAGGGTAAAATTTCCACAAAGGAGGAATATTTGCCGTTTTTAGGGGCTTGAAAGGGCGCTGAGCGCCCTTCTTCCTGGCCTTTTTAGGGTTACCGCAGTTGGTCGCGATGTAACCCAGTATTAAAAGATGGTAAATGTTTAAAAAAAAGGCGTATTGATAACATGCGATCCGGCGATGCGCCAGCTTTTGATGCACTTGGTTTGGGTTGAGGACGAGTCAAGGAATTGGACGAAACCATTTCATTGATCGGGCAATAGTGAAGATCCTTGAGGAGAAATTGGATCAGCTGGTGGAGCAGATGAATCCTGAGTTGAGCGACAAGTCAACTGGGCGCGTATGAGATGTGATATACAGGGGGCGGCAATAAAAAAACAACATTTTTTTGTCATACACTACCTCTAACAATTCCTTAGTTATTTCAAGCGAAACAACCTCAAACTATGCACGTTGAATGCGGCTTCGGAAGCCCTTGTCGGGACCGAATTGGTGAGGTATTTTGTTCATAAAGTAGTCAAGAAGGGCCATGAAACAGGGTGAATATTGCTTGAGGATTCCTCAACGGCACGTCGAGGATTTTCGCCTGATCCTTTACGTTCTCGCGCGCGGATATTCACTCTCGCCACCCGCGAGCCGTCTGTGCTCTCCGCGCGTACATTCACTATCGGCACTACTCTCGCACAGTAGAGAGCGATGGTCGAGGAATTCCTCGACCGTTATTCACCCTCCCACGAAGAACGTCAGTGGGAAGAAAAAGCGAAAAGCATTGCTCCGCATTTTTGAGTCGTGGCAGTGTCGCGGTTCCTGAGTTCGGAGACCCCTCTTCGTCACTCTCAGAGGGACCCTACTTGGCACCTAATCCCGACCCGTGGTATAAACACACTGACGGCAGTGTGACGCGGTTGCGCGTCTCACCCATACACCCTCACTTTGTGGCGCTTGTGCAACGTTTTTCTCAAGTTGTTTGCATTTCTTCAGTATTTTTTCTGCAGATAAGCCATAAGCTAATGTAAGCGACATGGTTCATTGCTGTCAAACATGCTTCAGTTTAGCAGAGGCTTTCCAAGCCTTACGAAGTTGTCACTTGGTTCACTCTTGGTTTTCCTATCTCATTATTCTTATTTCTACGTTGTCTGCCTGAGCCGCAAAATCTCTTCTGCCTCACGCGGCGGCCAAAAAAGTGAAAAACGCGCACTGTCGTCAACGTTTAATCAAGATGGTGAAACCTGCAGTACTAACCGTATTCACAGAACGTTCCGGTCCATCCATTGGGGCAGCTGCAGAACGGCATGCCAATGTTTTTTCCTCCATTGTAACATTGCTAAACAGACGAAGAAATAATTTTAATGATAGAACCTTCGGCACTGTCCCACTATTTATTGCCCCAAGATCTAAAAAATTTATTTTTCGTCGATACTTTGCTTATAGAGATACCCTCCCCTTCAAAAAGCGAGAAAGTGTCGGGTGCAGACCAAACACCACAACTGACGACGGCCTCCAAGTAAATCTGGTTAGTAGTGGTTCATAGTGATAGCTGATTTTTGGTAAATGATAGTTGTAATTAGTGACAACTGATAGAATACAACTGCAACAGGCTAATCATTTCATTGGCAGAAAACATTAACATTTTGTGGAGGCCGTCGTCACTTGTGGTGTATGGTCTGCACCCGACACTTTCTGGCTTTTTGAAGGGGAGGGTATTTGATGCCCTTGTTACCAATAATATGTTCGCTTTTGACGCGCATGGCACCACATTGCCATGACAGCTGTTTTCACCGAATTCGATTTGAACGTGTATGTAGGGGTTGTTTGGTGTCTTGGTGCATGCTTCTGCCCTCCACTTAAGTACAGTGCTACGGGTAAGCTTGTTGGGATGGGTTCACCGCGTTGGTTAAATTGCGCATCGTATGGCAAGTGGTGAAGTGCGTGAGGTCACAGAGTGAGTGGTTTGGTCACCTCCGCGACTCCTTTCCCCAAAGGTTTAGACCTGATCGCAACCTCAGTGAGAGGCCGCAGACGAGCAGAAAATGGCGCCGACAAATAAAATGTTGAGGTCCCGGGGCCGTAATGGTGGTGGAACAGTGCCGAATATTAATACAGTATTCTTGGATAGAAGTCCTCCAATCCTTTTTTCTTCAGAGTGATGAAACACTTCCCACTCGGTCCTTTGGCCTATCTCCATAATTTCAGATATTGACAATTAAGACCCAAGTTGTTGTAATATTTCTATCAATTCCATAAAAGAACGTCATTTGTCAGAAGGGCTTCCATTCTGAGATCCTTTAAGCTACCTTTATACTTTTACTGTTATTTTGTTAGATTGCAATTCAAGGAGAATTCCGATTCCAATATTGTCCATTAGTTTTCTATCCCTAAACTTTTTTTCATCCCATTACTTATTCCAAGAACCATTTTGGAATTGACTTTACCCAGCTCTGTAACAGGTACTTACAATTCTCTCACAGAGATCACCGGTGTATCCAGGTGGGCAGAAACAGGTCCCGTTGGCATTCATCACGCCGCCATTCTGACATGTGGAATGCGACGTTGGAAGAGGCGGTACTAGAAAGAACTTCTTTCAAATTATTTCGCATTGCAATTTATGGAAGCAATCCAGACAACGTGAAGTGAACGTGGGACGATGTCGCAAAACTGACCAGTGAACACCCCTAACCACTCACAAGGAAGAGTTATCCTTCATTATAGCTACAGTTTTCGGTCGCTAACAGGGTAACAGGCGCCATGAAGTCCTCCTTACACCTCACGCGCGTTTGATTCAAAGTAAACCTCTTTGAAAAGCCTGCATCGACAGAGGTCGAGAATGTAAAGACGATCGTTTGAAAAATACCAGGTTCCATTTTACGGCAGCGCTACTTTTCAGGATTGAGAACCATAAAGGGATGATCAAAATTTCTCAAGTGGTTAGAACCCTACAATTTGCAAACTGCATTTGAAATTGTGAAAAGTCGCTTACGAAAGAAGCCGTGACCGCAGAAAGGATGAACGAATGATATGAAAAGGACATCGTGCAACTATTTCGAGAAGAGCCGCCCTCACAGATACGTTCAGCATTCTTCATAAAGCACAGAATCAAATTCCGTATTCGGTTGGTGCCATGCAAGGTGCTTTGACGAGGAAAGTTATACTTGTTCGAAAGAGGTGCGGTTTCCTCACCTTCCAGGTAGATAACAAGCTCCAACCCCAAAATTTCTAAAAGGAGCCAATATTTGTAACGCTTCCCACTAATAATTCACCTCCTAGTGCAGAGAAGAAGTGGTGCATTGATCCACGCAAGGAGAAAAAAGGAAGACAATAGGCTTGCTTCTTGCTGCGTTACAAATATTCTACTTGACTCTGATAGCTACAAAAAGGTGGCACGAGCATGTTATACTTCAACTTAGTAAGGCAGAGCAGCTGTCGGTGCAGGCTGCTGAATCCAATCTGCTTTGATACTGGAGGAATGAGATGGTAGCAGTCCTCTGGTATGTGAAACTTTCGCCTGTATTGCGCAGCATCCTAATGCCTTCCAACAAATCTTCGTGGCCTGGTCCGGGATGAGTCTCCAAAACTCGGCATCTCTAGACGAAGCCCACCGTTCTTGAAGACTGCGTCGCCCACCGAAGTAAAGACGAAGAGTGCTGGGGATCCATCCTCGACCCGGACATCACACCCGGCCCCTTAATGGTCTAATGCTCTCGTAAAAGTGCCCCGATCACTTAAACAGCAGATCGGTCACTGTAGGGAAGCACCGTCGTTTTTAGGTTGAAGAAAAAGTTGATAGTGAAATTTATAATCACTCTGAAAACTGATATTTTATCACAAGATGACCTCAGTCTGTGACATAGTTTTTGCCACAGCATTCAGTAACGGCCTAAAAGATTCGCCGAAACAGCTTCCTTAGCGGTTTTCTCCTGCGCAGCAAGCTTGATGTGGCCAATACTTTTGACCGTTGCTGTACTCATAACAAGAAATAAATAGCTTTTTGATTCCTGGAGCCCAGAATCTCTGTGGCTGCGACTCGAAAAATAAGGAGTACTCGCTAAAGTTCCGAGTAATCACTGAATTTCGCAATCCCTCAAGAAATGGAAGCGATGGTGATCGGATTGCGCTAGGATCGCCAAATAATGAAGTTGCGATAGCACTTCCCATCGACTTTGACATTTTTCTGAGTGAGTAACTTAGCAACATGCGAACGGACCTTATCTTGGGTAAGGCAAAGAACATCAGGATTGAGCGTTTCCGTCAAATAGCGCCGGCGAATTTCTGTGCTTAAGATGTAAATCCGAGTGGTCACGGCGAGTCCAGCAAGAAGAAGCTTCAACACATTTCTATTGAGCAATATGTAACCATTTCTGTGGACGGAGATCCTGTCATTTTTTTCAGAACGTCATAGTTCTACCATTCTACCTGTACCTACTTTGCTTTTACTGACAATCGGGTCCAAAAAACGACTCACTTGGTGCGCAATACATGACACCTGCACGTTGCACGGCGTATCCTTCAAGACCTTGTGCATAGAACTGCAAACAAACATTTTAGTGAAGAAAAATCATTTCGAAAAAAAATCGCAGAAACCACATAAGAGAGTATTAAACCAATGAATGGCACTAAGAGATGCGCCATGTATTTAACAGAACGGCGACATCGAAAACTCTTTAGAACGATTTTACAAAGTCTAAGCTAATTCGCGGCTGCTATCTGCAGTATTATTCACATTGAATAAACTTACATTGAAATGAAGAATTTCGCCCGGTACCGTGCATTTGAACGGTCGGAAAAAGAAGTTGTAAGCGCAAACATCACGCCAAATTCCGTTTGAAGCGTAAATCTAAATTAGCTCTTGAGGAAAATGTTGCGGCAAGTTTTCCGTTTGAAGCGTAAATCTAAATTAGCTCTTGAGGAAAATGTTCGCAAGTTTGCAATAAAAAGCGTCTCTGTAATAAAAATTTCCAGTTTAGCATTATGAGAAGTGTGTTCAAGTATTTCCATCACCTGTTTCGGTCTTCCTTGGCGAATTGCGGTTATAGTCAGAAACGCCTCCGTTCGATCTGGTGGAACAGAGGATGGGTAGTTTGTAAGATGCATCACGATCGGGAGTTGGAAGGCTTGAAAAGTTTCTTTTGGAAGGCTTGAAAAGTTTCTTTCAGGTTCCAAATTTCAAAAAAAATAGAAAGATTTCGAAAAAGTAGCATGTTAACCCTGATAATCTGGCAGATGAATACAACGCTTAATTACAATAACTCCAAATTGGACGATGTAGTGGAATGCTTACTATGGTTCTATTAAGATTTTGATGTCCTAATTCTTTTTCACAATAATTTGTGAATTTTCAAGGAACAAGTTTTCTAGGGTTACCCCAAATTCTCAAAAGTGAGGTTTGTACTTTTCAAAATTTGCCTTGCTGTTAAGTTTAGATAGAAGAGTATGTGCGCGTCGAAGAACACAAAAATTACATTAGTTTAGGCGAGGGCGCTTGAGCTTTCGATACAGGAGCCGGCTCCGAAAAAAGCCCTGTGACACCTCACCTGAAAGGCAGTGATCAAGATAGCGGGAGGGCGGTACGGTTTTGATGACGTCACTAGATGCCACTGGTTTGGACCAGGTTTCCTGGGGACGTGGTTGGGACCGTCTTGTCACCCTTCCGCAAAAATGTGTAACATCATCAAAACCGCATCGCCGATTACTGTAATATTTCTTCCAATGAGTACTTTGATTCAGAGAATACTAATATCGAACTCGCATACCAAGCGAATGCTCAAGCTCGCCCACAGGCGCTGTAACAATTGAGTGTGGTAAGCCTGTAGTGCGAGCGGACGCTATGTGCTACCTCACAAAATGACTATGTGGTCTTGTGTTTTACAACTCAAATTACCCTTACAGGTAAATTTGTAAATAAATTAGACGAAGAGAAGTATGGAGAAAATCCCACCCCAATAGTGATAAAATAGGGGCAGAAAATGGTGACCCATGCTTTCATTTTCTTTTTTCTGAACTGACTTTTTCTGCCGGCTTGCCATTTGACTACTCTTGCTTCAGAGAAAATCGTACTCAACCAGCTTGGTAATGAGATCAGTCTGGGTGACCTACCGTATAAGGGTTGTGGAATGCCAACATCGCTGTGGATACCAATCGAAGTTGACCAGAACAGATCCATTTGGGTGTTGCGTCCAGCTGAAACGCTATCACATTGCTCAGTAGCTTGCGCAGAAAACCAGTATACTAGGTATACAGCCGAAACACTCTGGACACTCTGAAGTTATTAAATTTCTGAATTTTCGCTTTTTTACGCGCCAATCAAGCGTAGCTTCGAAGGAACACGAAGATCCATGCCTCGTCCCTTTGCCTTGACGTCGGCAACGATTTAGATTGCAGTAAACCGAAAGAAGCCGCTTACGTTTGGCATGCAGAGCTTGATAGATCTTGTAGCTGCACGATTGTGTGGAAACAGCCGAGCGGAACGTGAACATCCAATTACCACTTTGTGGTCCGTTGTAAAGCCTAAACAACATGCTCCATGAATGCGGAAATGATGAAAGGCAGAAGAGAAGTTTCGGGGAAAGTTGGGACCAACTTCGAAGCTGCCCTTACCAGACATGATTCAAGCCGTCGCTGTATTGCACAGTAGCATTTGCCACATCCCCTCCTGGACTCTTCAGCACAAGCGAGATGTCACCTTAAAAACGTAGGGTCGGTGTGTGTGTCACTAGCCACGATTTTGGCAGAACGACTGCGATTTCAACGGCACGACTGAATGGAGCAATTAGGAAATTGGCCGGTGCAAGGCGGCAGACACTCGCAAACCATAAACCCTTTCTTGGGACAATTTTTGGAAGTATAGCGACTGATCAATATTCGGATTTCTTAACGAAAGCTCTGCACAAAAGGAATGAACTGCTTTGCATCATTTAGGCAAATTAGACTCACTGGAGAACTCTGTTTATGATTGGGGCAAAAAGAGGTATTGCCTGCACGTGTTCGGGAAGCTCGTCAACGAACAGGACAGCGGGTACTAAGGGTCATTGATACCTAAAACTAGGTCGCCGAGAAGCTGTTGGTGGCAAAGTTACCATAGAAAGCTGTGATATCCATAGACAATGGCCCCTATCATCAAGTTAAAAGAGTGTGAAGCACAGGGTGCGCCAAAATTATAGCGGCAGCGCATGAGCATGCAATTTGAACCACTGTCCAGAGGTGCTGTTTTGTTCTGTGATTTTATTGTGTTTCCTATTTATAATTACCTCATTTGACCTTCAAAATGTGCGACTATTAAAATGACTGGATGATAGTGCGGCCGTTCCTAAATCAAGGAACTTCAATTTTGAGAGTTTTCGTCGCGCAAAAATTCGCGCGTTGCAGATGTGCACCAGCGCTCTGGTGGTGCACCGTCAGATAGATTCACTAAACGCTATAAGGAAATAGGGATCGAGTACAATCGGTTCCTAGGAGGAGGGCATATTTCTGTGACGGCCACGAGCAATGTCAGCATGGAACGCCATCAGGTTTGGAGGCAAATGGCGTGCTCGTTCACCGAATGTCACGACAGATGGACATCAAGAAGGTTGATCGAGACTTTTCCGAGAGCAATTGCCATCTGATGCTTTGAAAACCGTTGCTGCGTCTTCTAACAGGAAGGAGCTCCTGTTTCTAAGGCAGGTAAATGCACAACTGGTACAAAGCCAAAGTTGTCGACTTCATCATCTTTAACGAGTTTCAGGACAGCATAAAATAATATGAAACTAGTTCCTTATAGTGTCAGAGCAACTCTGCAAGTTAGGGCTCACATGGAACTTCGCACTTTTGGAGATTCATTTGAGAGATCGCTTAAGAGTGCGTAGGACAAGCCCCACGCACCACATTACACGTCACAGTCGAGTCTCCAACATGGTCAACCCTATCGTTTACTTTCTGAAAGATTTACGACCCCCCCCCCCTCCCCAAGGTGGATTTGATACGACCCCCTTCTCCACACCTCGACAACAATCATTTAATTATTCAATTCTGACGCGCGCTGGAACAGCGAATTTTTCTCCTCCGCCCCTCAACTCACCCAGCCTACCTACCCATAAAAACTTCAGTTTCACCTCAAACTCACATGTGATTTCAAGCGACTGAAACGGGTACGACCCCCTCTCCTACAAACTCAACCAAGTACGACCAACGCTTTTCAAGGCCTGTATGAACGACTACGAAGGAATTCTTGAGATTGAACAGTGGACAGTACCGATTTGTGATTACTTGAAGTTGTGAAATATTCCTTCTAGGAACTATTCTATTGAAATCTCGCTCTGGGGAGAACAAAATTAGCAATAAGTACCGCGTTAAGTTCTCTAGTTTATAGCCTCGGTTAGCTTCCATAACTTCCTGTGCCCCCTCCCTCCCATGCCGGTCTTTGAAGCAACAGTCCAGCAGGGTGGGCGTGGTCGGAAACGGCTGCAATCCCCTCGGCCGATTCCCACTTCGGAGCTGTTCAGCCCCTAGTCAAGAACGTAAGAAGTGTGACTGAACAAAAACTCACCTTGGAAAGCCGCTAGGGAGGGAGCTGAAGTGGGCGTGGTCGGAATCGGCCGAGGGGATTGCAGTCGTTTCCGACCACGCCCACCCTGCTGGGACTGTTGCTTTAAGGAAGTATTACAGTTACGGAGTTTGTGGTTTATACTTGAAACTACTCACGTCCAGTTGCCGCAATGACGAGCATTTGAACGGAAGAATCGACCGAAACGGACTTGTAAGCGAATTGCTCGGTACAGGACGGCAAATCGTTGGACAGCAGCATTTGGCTTCGATACAAGATGTTACGCATATGCAGTGTCAAGAACTAAACCATGAGCCGTTTTTCAGCATTTCAGCAAAATATCAGTGACTCTCAAAGAGTTGTTGGTCCCTACAGATATTCAGCAAGTTTAGAACATCAACTCCAGCACTTACAGTGTCGATAGTTTTATTATTTGTGAAGTAGAAGGTCTGGCCTGCTGAACGCTGCGCTACGGTGTCCACAAGACGGTAAGCGGGATCATCGGTGTTCTTACATCCTGTCTCCACATAGAGGAAATACACCTGAAATACAATTATGATGAATTAAAGAAGAGATAGAGATTGCGCTTAGCTGAGAGCTATCTCTGAGCTTTTGGAAGCCCGTCTCCCTCTGAAAGGCTTTCCCCGATGCGTTGCCCGTGAGTTAACTAAAAGACCCACTCCACAAGCAAGAGAAGTGATGGTTTGTTTGGAAGTAAAAGTGGAGGTGAAAGCAGTCAGTAAAAGTGGTGAAGAAGGTAATTCTTTAGGTAGTAGACATGTCTATGAGAGCTACAAAAAAGAAAATCCAAGGTGCAAGATGTGTCTAGGCTAGAGAAAGTACTCAGAAACGAGAGAGAATAGCAGCCATGCGAAACGCAGACATCTCTCAGAAAATTGCAACGCTGAGGACAAGTTCTATTACTTCTGGAATGCACTTTCCAAACGCAGCCATGGCATCCCTTCTGTACTTGCGGATTGGGCTGGGGGAAAATTATTGGTTAGAACTTCAGCCTAATTGGGATGTTCAACAGGTCGGCTCGGCTACTTGAAATGCCGGCAAGCTCATTGTTTCTAGACCTATGTAGTGGCGTGATACGTCTTTAACAGTTGTCGCCACTTTCTGTCCAGCAAATCTTTGGCTGTGGCCGTGACTTTGCTTAGGTCTTTCTTGATGCCTTTCTCCACCTCTTCTTTGGTCTCCTCTCGGTAGCTTGCCTTGGCTTTGGAGTCCATCCTGGCATTGCCTCTCTGACATGATAGAGAGCGCCAGTCATACTAGAGAGCGTTCATATACACCAGTTTTATCCTGGGGCTTCTTTAAGTGCACTTTTGATAAGAACTGGTGAGTGTCCTACATTACACGCATCTTGCCTCCATCCCATCCATTTTTTACTTCTGACCATTCACTCTGAGACCAGGTGAATATCGGTAGAGGGAATTCTCGATGGGGAGGGGGGTCGTATTTGTCAAGGTGGGTCATGGGGGGTCGTACTCGTGGGGTCAGTAACATCAGTGGCATCGTGGTGCAGATAGGAGTAAGAGGGTGTAGCGCAGCAGCGAACATATGTGAGGAAACATGATTAAATATTCTTTGCAGGTTCATTCGCTCCATTCCTCTACCTTCATGAGAAGGACGTATTTGAAGCAGTACAAAGAATGAAAGTGCATCTCCGCAAGGAAGAGGGGCCACATGTGCACACGCGCTGCAAAGGCTCCTCCTTTATCCTACGCCCATGATACCTCGTTGAGTAGCACTGCTGTAAGGCACTATAGCATAGACGACAATAGTTTCGGAAGGTCTCGGACAAATGAAGCTGTTCCTTAGGTTATAGGAGTTACGAAATGTGTTACATTTCTGTCAACAGGTCATCATCATATGTATAACACCTTTCAATAGATTCTACAACTTGAGTGGAGGTCGGATGCATGGCCTATACTGAGACGAATCGGACGATGACGATTGCCCCTTTTCTTATTCGCTTATGTTGGGAGAATGTATTCTAGACACATTTCGAGAGTTGCCAACGAATTACACTTGCAATGGTGAAGAAGGGAGCGGTTTTCAGGTGGCCGAGATCCGTCCTCGATAGATCCTCGACGCAAATATCCTCTCAACTAGAAAATGTAGAAGAAAGCTAAACAGACATCAGAAAGCGCAAACCTTCCGCTTTCCAAAACTATCTTCCTTTTTTTTAGGTCTACAAAAAGAGATATTGCCTTCAAAGTGGCAAAAACTCGCATGAATGTTTCAGCGTTCTGGACTCGACAAAATTTGAGAGACCCTATCTCTTCGAGTGTAAAACTTTTAGAGCAATTTCAATATTGCCCGGTAGTAGCAAATATAGCTCTATCTAACCCTACCGCACACTGCTCAAAAGTTACGAAATAAGGGATGGAACCTTTTCATCGAGAGTGTAGATTTCGAGGACGAAAGGGGTTTCGGCAAATCTGCCCGGTAAACCGCGCTGCAACTGAATGCTTTGCTGTACATTGATGGAACTCGCTTATTCACATCAAATCAAAGTTAGAGGGGTCGTATCAAGACCCCGATCTGAGGAGGGGGTCGTACTGAGGTGACAACGTCTTCGACATAATTTTCACCCTGCCCTCGCTAGCTCTCATGTTCTCGCAAGCTTGAGAAAGAGGCCAAAGTCAACGTGGGATTAAGAGAACTCTCGTCTTTTTCTCACATTCTCGAATTACTGGTGCATTTTTTAAATGCTGACATGTCGCCTGTCGTGACTCGCCACGACCTCGAGCAAAGATGCTCCAGGCCATGCGCGGGAGGATGCCGCAACGCAGCTTCATGCGCGCGCAGTCAGACTGAGCGTCGACTGTGATAGGCGCAGACCCCTGGCTGTCTGCCGCCATTCAAATCGCCCGCGCAGCTGCCACGTCAGTCGGACATGATGCAATCGCGCTGAGCGGTTGCCTCGTCTCGCCTCGACGTCTTCGCCTTCGCCTTCGGCCGCCTCAGAAGGTCAGTCCGTCTTGCTTATTACATCATCATAGCATTAGGCGGACCTCGCATTGGCCTCATATATCCTCACTTCGCTTTCTATAAATAGTAATATTTACTTAACTTTATAATATCACATAGTAGGCCAGGGTTTCCCCCATTGTAATCATAATGTAGTTTTCTCCATAGTAGTTTAGGTAACCACCGGGAGTTCATCATGTATGTTTAGGTTATTTCAAATATGTAGTCATCTTTAGTCAATCGTAGTCATTCACCGTTTTCCTTCCTAATAGTTTATTACAGGTTTCATATTGTAATTCTGTTCTATTCTGTGTTGATATACATGAAGTTCAGTAAGTATTCTTCGCTTTACATTCGCAATCAGGTTTACATCCGCTTATCGCTTATTCGCTTAGCATCTTGTCGGTCAACGGTCAATTACATCTACACGGCACGCAGCATACCGCATTTCTCGCCCAGCTCCATCAGGGTTATCGCACGCGTCAAGTACACGACGTACTTGCTGGGGTCAGGGAATAAGGCCCTGTGATTGAGCCCGCAGCAGGCACGGAATTCAGAGCATTCTCGCGCACGCATTCCCTTCAGAGGTGTTGTGGGCACCCACTGGAATCCCACGTTTTGCCGGGTCCCGTGGACAGATCACCGATGCACGCGCTTGCACGCGCTCGACCCCGTCCACTGGGCACGACATCGCCCATACTCGCGATTCGCTGATTCGCAAAAAGGTCTAAAGCTCCACAAAAGAATTAGGATAACGCGATATCATTTCTAAAAACTTGTCATACCGGAGATCTCCAATCGCTCAACAGAAGATAGACATTGTCCACTTGTGCGGCGTCGTTGGGCAGTGCGTCCGTGATCACATACACAGGTGACTTGTACGTGATGTACTGTGACAAGGCGGCACTGCAAATCAACAGCAGTCCATCTTTGAAGTGGAGGGTCCGTGTTAGTGATTTGCAGTTTCAAAATTTCAATTCATTCCAAGCTCTTTACCCGGCAGCATTTTCACCCAGTAATGGGTAGTGCTCTGTCTATTCTTCTGATCAGGGCTTATTCAACTTGTTATAGCTTTAATACACAAGAAACAGATTGCATTGTTTCAAAGATTCCACTGTATACAAAAAGTTCTAGCTGGGCTAAGACGAAGCAGTGCTCCGGTGGTGTCATTCATAGCACAGCCGTCCGGGACACGAAAGGATGCGGGTCATTTTCCTTCCTGGGGCCAAGAGCTTTGCCCATAACAACAGTATTCTTGAGGTATTATGTGTATGGCAAATTGCGGTCAAAACCAGCAGTCAAAAACCGAAAAAGATGAGCTTCCTAGATTTTTGTGTTCCGTCCAACTCAAATCTAAATTCCACCTCTGAACTTCCTGTTATACTCATGATATGTTACACTCGAAATTCCATAGAAAAATTGTCTTCAAGAACGATTTTGCCCATTATTAGGTGACAGGTGACCATAAAGAGTGCGTGGCCTGATACGCCTACAACATGATTCTTCCCAGTGTGGTAAAGAGTTAATTACTATAGTTCACAACTATTACATTCTAGTACGATTAATGCCAAAATAAAATTGAAATCAGGCTTCAGAAAGGGGAAAATGTGCTCATTAACCCATCGGTGACATTGCGGCTCGACGTGGGCATGCACTTTGGAAGGCACTGTGGTATTGTGGCAATCGAAAGCTGAGAGGAGCTGCTGCGCGCATTAGCAGGATAGATAGCCTAAATACGTCTACATATAAAGCGAAAATTGTGCAAAATGGTGCAGAATTTTCTGACTATGACTCTGAAAAATTAGCAGCCTGATTGTTCTAGTTGAAATTCAATGAACTACTTTGCGTGGAGCATGTTGAAGACGATGGCTTGTTCAAAGCATCAATGAAGCATCGATACGGAAGAAAGCCTAGTACAGGCTCACCGCCACCTACATATCTTCATGGGTACCCCCAGGAGGCCCGTCGCGCGGCAAGAAGGCCAAGTCAGCGGACGAGTCGCGCGCGTACTATAGGGATTTCGCGTCAAGTTAAATAGAGTGTCCCATTGCACGTCCTACATCGCACATCACGCGCTGCAACTCGTCCGCCGACTCTGCCTTCTTGCCGCGCGACGGGCCTCCTGGGGGTACCCTATCTTCATGACACGCGCAATGCGTTTTCATGTTAACTTCTTTTGTCATCAACGCAGACAGCGGCCACTACGAGAGAAAATGATACTGTTTGATCGCTTCTTCTTGTTACCGATTTTAGTCTACCCTGTACATAGAACTAGCTAAATATTAGTAAAAGATCGAGTCTATTGAGGCGAACCGCGAGTTGTAAGATTTGGGTAAGACGATGAAAAAGTGCATAAATACATATAACTGTCATCACTTTCATCATGGAACAGCTGTAATTTTCTTTGACACAGAAAAACCCTATGGACGTCGGAAGAACTTCGAAAAGGACCGACCATCCGGGCGAAATGCTGGAGAACCACCACCTGCGAACTCCGTATATAAGCGCCCGAGCCTGACACTCGTCCGATCGTCTTTTCATACATATTTTGGTGCTTTATATTTTATAGTGAAATCTATTTGCTCGTTTAATTACCCAAGTTTGAGGTACCTGATAATGGTGGCGATTGCGGTATAATAAAATAGGTGTTATCCTTATCTTGTGGTCCTGTTTTGACGAAACAACGACTGTACTCGCCATACGCCAATCGCACAGTATCATTTTGAATGGAAATCGAATGTCTCGCGCGTCCAATAGATTGTTCATCGGTTTAGTTTAGTTTTGGCAACCGGGTGATTTCGCGGGTGATTCACCGATGTTACGGTACTTATGAGAACATTCACACAGTAGAAGTAATAAGTTTTGATTAGAATAGCCGTCCGCAATCTTATGTACATTCTTTATCCAGCCGAACCCCAGTGAACCTCATATCACCCTTAAAGGCAGTGAACGCGATGGCGGAAGGCGGTACTTCCACAATGACGTCATTCAGCCCCTTTAGTGAAAGGCAGTTGGAAGGCGGTCCTAGCCACATATCAGCGTGCTGTAGTGCCTGTTAAACCAATAAGGCCGAGTGACGTTATCAGGAAGCTCCGTCCTCCACCCATTAGGCTCACTGCCTCTGAAATGTGTAAACAGAGCAATATTACCTGACTGCTGTGAAGTCTGTATCGAAACAGGTGCCACTCAAATCGGTGGTCTCTGCGGCCTCGATCAGAGCGAGCAGCAATGCCGAAGGATCGAAGTAGGTATTCGTTGTCAATTCTGAACATTAGATTGGCGATCAAACGGCAACAATGAGCGCCTTCTGTCAATGACTAACTTCGATTATTTTCATCTTCACGGCTATGGATTAGCCTTCATGAAAGCACATCATTCAGGCAGAACCCCACTAAACGTCCAGATCTCTAATCCAATGTGATCACTGACACACAAAAGAAAAAATTCGTTCTATAATCTTGCTAAGGCTGACGAAGTGTTTACCAAACTGCCTGCATGATTGCTTTGTTTTGAATCTATTGTTTTCAGTTGTAATGCTGCGGTTTACTCACGATTATTATTAAACGTCACTAATACAAAACGGCGAAGATAACTCGGATCGAAGGCCAAGTCGTTGATCACGGCTGTTACGGCTTTTGCCACCTTAACAGTACCGATGTTAGATACGACAATTTTCTAAAACACCCGATTCCTACAAGTATTCAGAGAATGAACCATTGATTAAGTTCATGCAAAATGCGAGGGACTTAAAGGCAGCGATCACGACGGCTGGACGGTGGTGCGGTTTCTGTGAAATCGTTGGACTTCGTTGGTGGAGGGCCGTTAAAAGGCGCTCCCAATCATATCCCAGCGCGCTGAGGAATCTTGTCTACTAAAAGCCTTTCTTGATATCATCAAAACCGCTCCGCCTTCCTTCCCTATCACCACTGCCTTCAAGTTGAAATAATTTTGACTACTGAAGCCCGAAAATGGAAAATATTGCACTGGCTGGAGATTGAGCTTGAAATCTGAGTAATACTGGTTTCTATAGCAGCAATCTGTTCTGCAGCTTACCGTAGTTCCCTTGTTCTCTTGACTCGTCTCTATGAGAAATAGATATCGATTTTGCGCGCGCAAGAACAATGGGCTAACAGATCGAACGTAACGGGCGCGCAATTTCAGAAAAAAAGAAACAGTTGGACGCTGGCAACCACTAGCGATTGGCCACAATTTAGGCCGGAATGCTTAAGGGCCTGATTTATAACAAACTCACTTGCGAAATGACATCAGCGAGTTGGGCACGAGTTCGAATAACTAGGGTGAGTGTCGGTTGTTCCGCGTCGAATTTCAGGCCTTTGCTATCACTGCACTGCACTAAACAGCATGATCCATGATTTCGCAGCTCAGCTGAGTATGACACTTGCTTTGACAGTTAGCCACTTACATTTTTCACAGAATTCGCCTCCAAAGCCTCCATCGCAGATGCACTTGTCGGTCTCTTCATCCAGCGAGCCTGCAATCGTTACAGAATGAAAACGATAACTTTCAAAAGATTGATTTTTTAGAAAAACTGGCTCTCCGGACAACATTTCTATATTGATTCATTTCAGACTTTAATGAAGGAGAAGTAGCGCGGAAGCCCAAACGGACACAAGTGGAAAACCCGCAACTGGTTCTCAAAGTTTTCGCTAAAGATTTCATAGAATGCAAATTGTGGGGAGTGACTCGAAGGGTAGCCAATGAAGATTTTGGTATTTGAACGGCTTTCAAGTGCTTCTTGGCTGCAGATACTTATTTGGCCATCTACACTAAATTCGGTCCATTCTTGGCTTTCCTGTATTAGCCCTTGGGCATACGACGGATCAGCGGACTTGTCACAGCGTGTATTATGGGACGCGCTCTAGTGCAATTTAACATGACGGTAAATCGCTAGGTACGCGCTGCGACTCGTCCACTGACCCGACTGCAATTCTGCCTTCTCACCGCGCTATGAACCTCCTTTCGGGTTTCCTAGTCCAGTGCCCTGAAGACACAGCATGGATAAGATACTCCTCCGAGATTGATCTTCTGCGACTCGCGTTTGTCTGAGAACTCTTTCGCATTTTATGGTTAGCTGTGATTGCCTGAGAAAAACCGGAAACTTTCGGTTTAAATGAATACGTTCATTTTACGTATGCATGTCTTCTGTTTTCTCTAAACCCATGCCACATGAATGCCACCTTTTCACGGAAGTTGCCATGCCACGTATCAGCGTCGCCTATATTTTCTGCATCAAGGACGGGATTCTCCAATATGTGTGTTTCCGTGTCTTCGTGTTCTGTGTGTTGACATTCACCACTCCTTCTTCCTTCTTATTCTTCAGCGTTTGTCCCGCTTGTTGGCGGGGTCCGCTTTTCTGATGTGCTGACGCCACTTTTCCCGATTAAATGCTTGGTCGGGGTGGATGTTAACCGACTTCAAGTCTTCGTGCAACGTATCGAGCCATCGCTGCTTCGGGCGTCCTCTAGGCCGCTTTCCGGCACGTCAAGGTTGAGACCGATCTTACGGACACTGTCATCATTCGCGCGAAGAACATGACCATACCATCGAAGACGGGCTTCGCGCATTTTATCGACAATCGGAGCCACACCGGATTGCTCGCTGATGTTATCATTAAGAATTCAGTAGGAATCCAGCACTCGGCAACATAAATCGCGATGATGCTATATCCTCGGTCTGGCGATGGCGAGTCTTCGGGTCTTTGGCGATGGCGGGTCTTCGGCAATTGTACCTCTCACCATCGCGCGACTCGAGTTTGTCGTTGACATCTGCAAAATGAGCTGCTTTCGCAGAAGCAACGGCCTTTTTTGCCTCTTTCTTCGCTATCTGATAGCTCCGCCAGTTATCAGCTGTCTTTTCCAAGAAAATGCGTGGTACCGCTTCTTTCTTTCGCACTTTCTCTCTGACCTGGTCCGTCCACAGCCACGTTTGCTTGTCAATTCTCCGGCAGTTCAGGCTTCGTTATGTCGAGCGGATTGTGCAACCCGTGTTCTCACTTGGGTCGTAAGCGCCGGCAATCGAATGCGAGAAACGACAGCCGCTTCTTTTTCCTTCAGTCGCCACCACTTGATTCTCGCTGGCCCACACCTTTCGGTTAGTTTCGGTTTCGGCGGGGCGATCTTTAGCGTACAAATCAGTGGTCGGTGTTGTGTGACGACCGTTTCATAAGGCACTGTTTTCGCGTCTGTTACGAGCCCTTGATCGCGGTGCCTGACAAGGACGAAATCAATTTGTGTTCTGGTTTTACCGCTATAGAAGGTGATGAGATGTGAGTCACGTTTTCGGAATTTCGTGTTTCACAATGGCGAGATTATGCGAGTCTGCATATTCAAGAATTCGCTCGCCATCAGTATTACGTGACCCATATCCAAAACCACCATGACAGCTGTAACCGTCTTTCGTAGCGCCACGTGCCATTGAGGTCACCTGCGACAATTATATAGCTTCTTGTGGTAATTCAGCTGCTTCCTCATCGAGCAGGTTGGCATTCACCATACCAAAGGAATAACCTGGGAGAGCCGGGTCAAGCCCAAGATGGTACGAGAATGGGAGTGGAAGCACGGCGTAGCTTAAAATTTATGAAGAATCATCTCATCTGAGAAGATAATATTCAAATTCTTAGTGACCTCCCGAATTTTCCCCGAAACAGAGCTTTACCTCCGTTAAGACAAAGCCTTGTTCCGCAGTCAGTTCCAGTGAACAGTCCGGTACAGTAACATTTGGTGGAACCGTCAGGATTTCTAACCAAAATGCCGTTGTTCTTACACTCGACCAATGGAGTCGGAGACGGGTTCCGTGGATTCACTAAAAACTGCAGTTTTTGAGCTTTCTCATGAAATCACTACAGAAATGAACAGCTTTCTCGAAACGATTCTACATGGTATAGGGGTACGTGCATGGAACACACAATCTCGTTCATTTTTCTTGAGCGAAGGCCAAAAAAGGGGGCGATGAAGTGGTCCGTGGTTTGAATCCTCAATGAGGTTCCAAAATTCGCGAAAAAAAGCATAAGCGTAAACAGCTTATGTCATAGTATAAATAATTAGAACCGTCATAAGCCTTAATACGTAGATTTCAGAACTGGTTAAGAAAGTTAGAATGGCCATTCCTCAGTGAATTTTTCTTCGCTCCTTTTTTGGTATCTGGGCATTTCCTGAAAGACCACCCCGTTCAGTGCGTGTCTGAAAGCCGAACCAATAGATACAACGCCGTGAAAAGTTTCGCAACCTCAAGGATTGGGCTATTCTCATGACTAAACATTTAGAAAGGGCGCTGAAGGCTTACAGGGAGCTGGCTGTAGTGCCTGTAGATGATCAACATCGAGTATAGAGATACCTGTTCGGGTTCATCAATAATTTTGGGAACGAACGCAATTTCTGAAACCCCTTTTAGTAAACTCCCATGGGTTCTATCACAATTCTCTCTTTGCAGATTTTATTGCAGATCTCTCAGAGAGTTATCAGTAATACTGTTCTCATCATTTCATGAGGAAAAAGAGCACCAAAGTACAGCAATGGTTGACGTCACGCATAGCTTGGCTTCCAGGATTCGATAAGGCATAGGTATTTGGCTACTGTCATTGTCGCTCCTATCATCTAATCAACGCAAACATCATTTTTATGGGTTTTCTTCAATGTTCCATTTCTGATTTCTGCTGACAGCTGGTCCAGAAAAAAGGATGATATGCATTTTGTGAAGACGGGTTTTATGGCATTCCTTATAGAGCCTTATCGAAATGTTGTTTTTGTTTGCACCCGTCGGAATGGCGTGACTCGTGAGAGTTTGGGGCATCTACCATATTAGGTGACTAACTTTAACTCAGTTGTCTGTGTTTGAAAGGTCATGAAGAGGGCCGAGCGTCGCACACGACCGATTTCAAAAATTTTCATGACCCTCCCCCTTTTGGGAAGTGTCGATACGATAACCCCCCACAACCACCACATGCGAAGGGACTCATTTACGGACTATTGACCACCACCCTCATCACCATGGCTTTCTATATTATTTGATTTGAGACTAATCGACACAATCCAGCTCCGCATCACTTTT